CTTTCAGTTCAGTTTTTGCTCATGTGTAATATAAATTATTTAAAAGCCAGGTTTGGGGAAACTGTCATAAATGTGTTTAATAGTTGCTGCCCCAGCATCCATTTTCAGGCCTGACCAAACTTGTCTGAAGCCCAGTCTCAGTGTGTCACCTCTGGTCTGGGTAACACTCCCCCTCCCTGAGTGGGTGTGATGTGGCCCATTTGTTCTTCATTCCACTGAGCCAGAACCCACACATCACACAGCTGCTGACTATGATAAAACCTAATGGTCAACACCGGAGTCCTGTAAATAAGCCCAGCTCCCGTGTTCTCTTAAATCAGCGAAGCCACACCCTCACGGGAAAGCCCGAGAACAAAGCTCCAGGCCCTTCCTCTGCTCTCTGGCTGGTCTTGGTCTCCAGACTGCCCCTCAGGCTGCAGACGCTCCCCAAACTTCTCCGGGATATGTAAGTTAGAGATTTCTTCTGTTCCTGCGTTTCAGTTCTGCCTTGTGCCTTACTTTACTGACACCCCAGAGCCTACCTTTCCCCCTGGCCAGGGCTCTCCTGGAGACGAGCTGGTTTCTGGCCTCCTTTAAAGAGAGACCTCAAGACCAAATTAGAGAGAAACCTAACGAAATAAATCACAGCAGAAAGCTTGGTGATTTACTTACAATATGTATTTATAATGTAAAATGTGTTTATGATAGGTTTAGAACACACCAGCCCTAGCTCTAAATTGCACTGCTGTCTTGTAGGATGCAGTTATTCCTCATTTCATTTTCCACTGAAGTCATTGTATTCCCTCAGTTTATAAACACCTCAAATTCTTCAGCTGAAAAGACAAGGTAACTTGATAGGGCACCCCCTCAGGAAGCATAACCCCCAATGCAGAGCACATTAAATGTGCAAACCTGTGAGCACCTTGTCCTATGTTATTAAAGAAAGAAAATGCTGTTGAAAGGCAGGAAAGTCCTTATGAAGAAGTTTAAAGCAGTAGAAGAATAGACAGATGAACTGGAAATGGAAAAAGTCAGTTTTCCTTTCCTTTTAGGAGTAAGCCACTATGGAAACTAGCTGGTAAATGTCGCAGTCCCTTTAGGTGGCAAGGTTAGTGAATACTAAGAAAACACTATGGTACAAATGTTTATTGTGCAAAGCACGCCTGTAATATTTCATCTGGTCTCAGAGACCCTATAAGAAACATAAGACCTTTTCAGATGAGATTGGGCTTCAGAGTGAAATTCGGAGACTGGTAAGACTCACGTAGAGAGAAAGGGGTGGAACTGAATTCAAATCCAAATTCTTCCACCTGTAAGCACAGGGCATTTTCCACTAATCAGCCCACTAACCAGAGAAACCTGATTTATCCAAACATTTAAAATGACGCCATGGCCGTTTGAGTGAAACCAATTTTGGCTTATACTTTTGATTCCTCATTACCAGCCTGCCATTGGTTATCTGATATGGGCAGCAGACTTCAGACATAATGAAGTCTAACAGAACCTCTCATTGTTTGTGCAGATACAGTAGTAACAGAGGTGGTGATATAGTTTGGATGTTTGGCCCCTCCAAGTGTCATATTGAAATGTGGCCCCCAGTGCTGGAGGTGGGGACTGCTGGGAGAGAGGTGTTTGGCTCATGGGGCAGATCCTTCATGAATGGCTTGGTGCCTCCTGACGGTAATGGCTGAATTCTTGCTCTCCTCACTCACTGAGATCTGGTTGTTAAAGTGTGGTACTGCCCCCGTCTCTCTCTTGCTTCCTCTCTCACCATGTTAGGTGCCAGCTCCCCTTTGCCTTCTGCCATGATTGCAAGCTCCCTGAGGTTTCACAAGAAGCAGATGCTGGTGCCATGCTTCCCGGGCAGTCTGTACAACCATGAGTCTAATCACCCTCATTTCCCTGTAAATTACGCAGCCTCAGGTATCCCTTTATTACAGCAATGCAAATTGGACTAATACAGATAGGGAGATATAAATATTAATTTAAAAGATGTTTATATGTTGCCTAATATTCTCACTGAGACTGGGAGGTGTTAGATACACATAATTGAAAACAAAATCTCCCAACCAAGAAAACTTCATCACAAATGTAGGAGAGAAAGAAATATTATTATTCTTTAATTTCTGGGGTACATGTGCAGAAAGTACAGGTTTGTTCTGTAGGTATACATGTGTCATGGTGCTTTGCTGCATCTGATCCTCCATCACCTACACTAGGTATTTCTGCTGTTACCCCTTCCCAATCCCCCCACCCCCTGGCTATTCCTTCCCTAGCCCTCCCCTATCACTCACAGGCCCCAGAGTGTGATGTCCCCCTCCCTATGTCCATGTGTTCTCATTGTTCATTGTCCACTTATTTTTTAGAAAAGTTTATTATATTTTAAGTTCTGGGGTACATGTGCACATTGTGCAGGTTTGTTAAATAGGTATACACATGCCATGGTGGTGGGTACTGCATCCACTGGCCCGTCATCTACATTGGATATTTCTCCCAATGTTATCCCTCCCCAATTTGCTCCCCCACTGCTATTCCTCCCCCCCCCCAGCCCCTCACTCCCCAGGCCCCAGTGTGTGATGTTTCCCCACCTGTGTCTGTGTTTTCTTATTATTTAATACCCCCTTATGAGTGAGAACATGCAATGTTGGGTTTTCTGTTCTTGTGTCAGTTTGCTGAGAATGATGGTTTTCACCTTCATCCATGTTCCAGTAAAGGACATGAAGTCCCTCTTTATGGCTACATAGTATTCCATGGTGTATATGTCACATATTTTCCTTGTCTATGATGGGCATTTGGGTTAGTTCAAAATCTTTGCTATTGTAAACAGTGCCACAATAAACATACATGTATGTGTATCTTTATAATTGAATGTTTTATAATCCTTTGGGTATATACCCAGTAATGGGATTCCTGGGTCAAACAATATTTCTATTTCTAGATCCCTGAAGAATCACCACACTGTCTTCCACAATGGTTGAACTAATTTACACTCTCAACAGCAGTGTAAAAGCATTCCTACTTCCCCATGTCATCTCCAGCATCTGTCTCCAGATTTTTTAATGATCGCCATTCTAACTGGCGTGAGATGGTATCTCAAAGAGGTTTGGATACACATTTCTCTAATGACCAGTGATGATGAGCTTTTTTTTGTATGTTTGTTGGCTGCATAAATGTCGTCTTTTGAAAAATGTTGATCTCTGTCACCCACTTTTTGATGGGGTTGTTTTTTTCTTGTAAATTTAAGTTCTTTGTAGATTCTGGATATTGGCCCTTTGTCAGATGGGTAGATTGCAAAAAATTTTTTCCATTCTGTTGGTTGCCAGTTCACTCTAATGATAGTTTCTTTTCCTGTGCAGAAGTTTGTTTTTTTTTTTTTAAGTGAAAGAAAGTTTATTTTTGAATAATACACATATCATTCATTTCATTTAATTTTCATAGTGCATAACTATGTATAGACGTACACAGGGAAAAATAAACATTAGAAATACCTAACCATGGAAGTGTAAAAGTGAAGACATTTGATATATCCATGGATAGGCTTAGAAGTATTACAACACAGGGTCCATTAGAAAAGAATAAAAACCATGCCAAAAAAAAAAAAAAAAAAAAAAACCATGGCAGGTAAGTGCAATCAGTATAAATCGTAGTTTCCTGGGTACAAAAACTGCATATTCTTTGGATTAAAAACAAACAGGTGGCTTGGTTTTTATGTCCAACCCAGAAATCACCTATAGAAGTAAAAAGTGTATAGGCCAGGCACAGTGGCTCCCACACCTGTAATCCCAGCACTTTGGGAGGCCGAGGTGAGCAGATTATCTGAAGTCAGGAGTTCAAGACCAGCCTGGCCAACATGGTGAAACCCTATCTCTACTAGAAATACAAAAATTAGCTGGCGTGGTGGCGTGCGCCTATAATCCCAGCTACTGGGGAGACCGAGGCAGGAAAATTGGTCCAAATAAAAAAGTAGAAGTAAGGAGTGTGGGTGCTGTTATACCACATGTGATACTAAAATATTCAAGGCCACAGATGGAAGTCACCAACTTACAAAGAGAATACTGAGAGGTAGTAGGATACATAAAAAGACAGAAATGCAATAAAGGAAATGCCACCTCTGTCTAAATCAGAAAAGAGTAAATGCATCGCCATTCAAACAGCAGCTCTACATACTACACTGCATTTCTCCTTGTCAAAAGGAATTCATTGTGCATCATTACAAAGGTCAGTGAATAAGATGCGATACATGTAGAGCCTTGGTATTAGGGCAAACTTAGTTTCCTTTTCGTTTTACACGTGAGGGAACAAAGCAGCACAGAACCAGAAATGCTCATCTTCCCATTCACTACGCTAACTTTTCAGTTCGGCACAGGTGGAACAGAGACGTGAAGTTTAATTAGATCCAAGCTTCCAGATAAATGATTTCACATTGGAAAAGCTATGGAAAGAAATTTCATCACTGTTTAACAAATCAAATGCTTAAAGCAAGTTTAAAAGTTGAGACAGAAAAAAAGATTGATTTAAAAATGGCAAAAAAAAATGAAAATCTCTTGGTTTCCTTTAGAGGTTTTTTTTTGTTTTTTTTTTTTTTGCCTTTTACTTTCTTACAAATTGCATTTTACAGTAGAAATGCAGACCACTTTGGAGAGCTACGGCTCCATACTGCTGCATGCCCTCTGTTGGGGTCCGGCACGTCTGCCGGGGGGCTACTGACCTGCGGGAGTCCCCGAGACTGCCAATGCAGATGTCTCGTTCAACCTGAGGGAGAGAGTGCGTGGAAGTGAAAATAGTTAAGCGGAGTCTGGAGGTCTGCGTAACCTATGGCCAAAACACAGCAAATTTATTCTTGTGGGTTACAGCTTTTATACCTTTTTTCTTGTTTACATTTACTTTATCTCAGCAGAAAAGGGGTAAACAGAAAGGAAATAGAAACTCCATAAAAACAGTGATCAGGGGCTTGTGATAACCATTCACAAAGCAGTTTAAGGGGGCTTGTGATAATAGTTTACAAAGCAGTTTGTGTTTTTCAAAGATACACAGTGCAAGCAAACAATGGTGCCCTTAAGGTGGCTTGTTAATCCTGTTTTCCATCAGGAGGTAGAACAAAGGCTTAGCTCCAGGGAAAATATGGGCAGGGGTCTCTTGTCCCTCTTAGGCATCTCAATTGTAGCAAGTTTATCGCTTACACAGAGACTGATGGGGACATGAAAGCAGACAGCACAATGTCCTCATAAACCGCAGACCTTTGCTTTGTATTCTGTTTTTGCCTCAGTGACTCAGCCCATGACCTTTGTCTCAGCTCAACAGCCCTCAAGAGGGGGGAGTGCAGACAGGTCCAGCAGCCAAGATGGGGCGAGTCACGCTAACTGTCTCAAGCCCTTGGCGCGAACACTGCACAGCCCTCCTCCGAAGACATCATCTTCTTACATTCTACTGAACAGAAAACCATCCCTTTTACTGGCATGAACTTCTGCCCAGTGAGGCATGTGCTGCAGCAGGAGCACAGAAAGCACTCTGTGGATGCATGCCAGCTGAAATTGGTATACGTCACCCACTGCACTTCTGGGTCGCTGGCATTGTGGGATCCTTGACACACCGCAGCGTGATTCTTTACATAGCAGGGCTTGCACACGGGCTTGTCCTTGACCATCACGTATAATTCCCCAGCTAAAGCAGCAGAGGTGTGTCAGGTGCCAATTCTGGTTTTCTGCCTGGGTAGACTCACTGCTGAATATCAGCTCATCACAGCCAGCACGTCGGGGTTTCTCACTGAAACAGTAATGTCTGCCACAGTATAGCTTCTCATTCTTCCAGAAATAAATCATGTCAACCAGGAGTTCATGGCAGATGCTGCAGACAAAAGAGGCTGGGTGCCACAGTTTATCACAGCCGGCCCTTTCGGCATAGATGGTGGGTTGCCTGCCTTCATACTCAGTTTGCAACAATAGCAGGAATGTTGAATACTTTTGTGCTCAGCAGATCTGTCCTCCATGGCCCCCGCTGCTGGTGGGGTGCTTCCATCCCCTCCAGGAATGCACATTTGTTTGGGGCCTCAGGCATCCATCTCACAGGGAAGTTTGACATCTCCTACTCCCAGATCCTCACTCTTAAATTACTTCACAAACTGTTCCATCTCCTTCACCTCTCTGGGAGACAATTCATGGCACTTTGAAGGGTCCTGATCATGTGCAGGGAGCTCTTTGCCAGCTGCTGCTTCCGGTACTGTGCCCCCTCTGAGCCTGCCACTGGCTGCTTTTCCTTGGGTAGCATCTGCACGTACTACGTGGCCAATGCCTGACTGTGGACAGGAGGAGCCCACTCATAGGTAACTGTATTGATGGAGACATTCTTCTTGGCAGCAACTGGATTGGTCAATATCATAACATTGCGTTTATACATGGGAATTCCACCTGACTTTAGTTTTGCAATCAGAGTGGTATACTTGGTGTCTTCAAAAAATTTTCCCAGTTTTCGATCCTCTTCATTGCTCAAGAGGACATCATGCTCTTCTTGGCCACACTTGCAGTTACAACATATTTTTCTCCAGAAGTGCAGTTCGAATCCTTCACATTTTTCTTTGCATTTTAAACAAGGGGCTCCAAATCCTTGCTTGTGACCTAAGCCCGTCGTCTTCACTTTGTTTTCCAGGTCCATGTCTGGGCATCTGAGGGGTTCCCTACTCCTCCTGTCTGGGATCTCACGACCGGGCTCAGCTGGCCTTGGGCTCCACTGCAGACCTGGAGAACCTTGCAGAAATTTTTAAGTTTAATTAGGTCCCGTTCATCTATTTTGGCTTTTGTTGCCATCGCTTTTGGTGTTGTAGTCATGAAGTCCTTGCCTATGCTTATGCCCTGAACGGTATTGCCTAGGTTTTCTTCTAGGGTTTTTATGGCATTAGGTCTTATGTTTAAATCTTTAATCCATCTGCAGTTCATTTTTATATAAGGTGTAAGGAAGGGATCCAGTTTCAGCTTTCTGCATATGGCTAGCCAGTTTCCCCAACACCATTTGTTAAATAGGGTATCCTTTCCCCATTGCTTGTTTTTGTCAGGTTTGTCAAAGATCAGACAGTGGTAGCTGTGTGGTGTTACTTTTGAGGCCTCTGCTCTGTCCCATTGGTCTGTATATCTGTTTTGGTACCAGTACCACGCTGTTTTGATTCCTGTAGCCTTATAGTTTGAAGTCAGGTAGTATGATGCCTCCATAATTGTGTGCTTAGGATTGTCTTGGCTATGTTGGTTCTCTTTTGGTTCCCTATAAAGCTTAAGGTGTTTTTTTCCAATTCTGTGAAGAAAGTCATTGGTAGCTTGATGGGGATAGCATTGAATATGTAAATTATTTTGGGCAGTATGGCCATTTTCACAATATGGATTCCTCCTAACCATGAGCATGAAATGTTTTTCTATCTGTTTGTGTCCTCTCTCATTTTCTTGAGTGGTGGCTTTTCGCTCTTTTTGAAGAGGTTCTTCACATCTTTTGTTAGTTGTGTTTCTATGTCTTTTATTCTCTTTGCAGCAGTTGTGAATGGGAGTTCACTCATGATGTGGCTCTGTGTCTATTATTGGTGTATAGGAATGCTTGTGATTTTTGCACATTGATTTTGTATCCTGAGACTTTGCTGAAGTTACTTATCAGCTTGAGATTTTAGGCTGAGACAGTGGGGTCTTTTAAATATAAAATTATGTCATCTGCAAATAGAGACAATTTGACTTCCTCTTTTACTAATTGAATAACCTTATTTCTTTTAGCTTTAAACCAGAGTGAGATGCACGTCTCAAGAAATCAGCTCAGAAATTGCAAAGGCAGAAAAAAAACTCACCTCTTATGTAAATAAGAAGGAGATACAACTTTTAACGTACAGATTCTCAAGGTAAGCAATAACTTGTCCTCAAGGGGACTTAACGGTACCATTTGTCACACACCTTTCATTTAAAATTTTCTTAGTAAAATTGGGGTAACCGTCTCTGTTAGGCTTTATCCACAGAAAAAATAAACTTCTTATGTCTTTATAGAAGTAGGTTGTCTTGCCACTTGGAGAAAGTTACCTGCTGAACTTACCCTCCCAGCCTCCTACTGAACCTGAGAAATGGAGGTGTTACCTTCCTTGATAATTTTCAAAGTGAAATGAGTGTCATTTATGAGGTGAAATGACAGAATTCTCCTCCTACCAGTACAGTTCACAAAATGCATGAACCATTGATACGGCTTGAAGCATCATATGTGCTCAGTTTATGGTGAGAAAACAGTTATCTGCATTTTTTTCCAAGTTTTAAAAAACAACTATCAACTAATTGATATTGTATAACTCACTCAAAATAACTGAAAGACAATCTGGACAAATTTACAAGATTATGTAGTCTGATAATGTCCACAGATTGATGGTAAAGTTACATGTAAGGAGTTTGGGATGAGTCTTCAGGAACTCTGTACTTAACTCTTCTCAATTTATGGCCATTCTGTTGGCAGCATGGATTTTCATCACTGGAGGCAGATGTTACACTGCTCCTCCCCTCAGGCAATCTGGCTTAGAGGAAGGCAAGTGAAGGCCAGATGAGACTGAGCCTCCACCCAACTCCCCATGCCCACCCAACCCTCTGGTTCTCTACCCTGTTCATCGTCTCTACACAAACAGCAAGCATCTGTTTACTTTATTCAGTCAAATAAAGGGTAGACCTCTTCGTGTAAGATACTGACATGTTCAGTAATAAAATACTTGAAGTCAGGTTAGATATGTTTTAATGACTGAGTCACATTTTAAAGAGATGATGATTCATTGTGCATTTGTTAAACCAAGTCTCAGATATGATTAACATGGGCCCTGGACACCAAGCATGGGTGAAGCATGTTAGTCTCAGGAAGACAGGTTTTGTACTGTATTCTGTATTAGGCAGAATCAGAAAGTAGAGAGATTGGAGAGCCCTAGATAAGATGGTAGAGAATGGGTAGGACGCCCTTCTCCTGACAGCAGACTGCTGGGTAACCTCGACTTTGGCCTCACGTAGCTTCGCAATTGGTTCATCAACAGCGGTGGGGCCCAGTGCATTATGTGCTGAAATGCAAAGGAGATGCTGAAACATTTTAAATTTATTTTCTCGAGTAAATTGAACTTTCCCCTAAAATATAGTCACATTATTAATTACTATAAATCTTGACTTTGCCACATATTATGTTTAACATTGAGTAAGTAATTTAACTTTTCTATGTCTTATTCCCTCATGTGTAAAATGAGGTTGACAGTAGTGCCCCTGAGGGTGGTTGGTGAGAAAATTAAATAAATCCCAGCACTTCGGGAGGCCAAGGCGGGTGGGTCACGAGGTCAAGAGATCGAGACCATCCTGGTCAACATGGTGAAACCCCATCTGTACTAAAAATAAAAAATTAGCTGGGCATGGTGGTGCGTGCCTGTAATCCCAGCTACTCAGGAGGCTGAGGCAGGAGAGTTGCCTGAACCCAGGAGGTGGAGGTTGCGGTGAGCCGAGATTGCGCCATTGCACTCCAGCCTGGGTAACAAGAGTGAAACTTTGTCTAAAAAAATAGATAATCCCAAAATTTGTGGAGGCTTTGTTCATAATTTCTTACTCTTGTTTCTTTGTCTTTGTTGGGTTGGGTTAATTCAAGGTCCTTATCTTCAAGCTCTGAATTTCTTTCTTCTACCTGTTCATTTCTATTGCTAAGACTTTCCAGAGCATTTCATGTTTCTAAAAGTATGTATGAAGTTTCCTGAATTTTGGACTTTTTTCCCTTAAGGTATCTATTTTCTTTAATATTTCTCTGTTCACTTCTAGTATCACTTTTTGGATATTTTTCCACAGGGCTTTGTCTTTCTCTGGTCCCTCCCTGAGTAGCTTAACTAACCCCCTCAATTCTTTTTCAGGTGAATCAGGGATGTCTTCTTGGTTTGAATCCATTGCTGGTGAACTAGTGTGATTTTTGTAGTGTGTTGACAAGCCTTGTTTTGCTATATTACCAGGATTGGTTTTCTGGTTTTTTTCTCACTGGGCTAGGCTGTGTTAGAGGTAAGGTCTAGGGCAGAAGGCTGTTCTGATTCTTTGCCCCATGGGGTGTTCCCGTGGTGTAGTATTCTCCCCGTTTTCCTGTGGATGTGGCTTCCTGTGAGCTGACTAGTGATTGTTGTCTCTTCTGGGTCTAGCCACCCAGTGAGTCTACCTGGTTCTGGGCTGAAACTGGGAATTGTTTGCGCAGAGTCCTGTGATGTGAACCATCTATGGGTCTCTCAGCTGTGGATACCAGTGCCTGTTCTGGCGGAGGTGGTATAGGGTGCAATGGACCCCTGGAGGTTCTTAACTTTGTTGATTTAGAGATCTATTTTTGTGCTGATTGGCCTCCTGCCAGGAGGTGGCGCACTCCAGAAAGCATCAGCTGTAGTAGTGTGGAGAGAAACCGCTGGTGGGCGGGGCCTTAGAACTCCCAAGATTATATGCCCTTTGTCTATCCCTACCAAGGTGGGTAGGGAAGGACCATCATGTGGGGCAGGGCTGGGTGTGTGTGAGCTCAGACTCTCCTTGGGCAGGTCTTGCTGTGGCTGCTGTGGTGGGTGGGGATGAGACTCCCAGGTCACTGGAGTTGTATATCTAGGAGGATTATGGCTGCCTCTGCTGGGTCATGGAGGTTTTTTCAGAAGTAGGGGAAAGCTGGCAGTCACAGGCCTCACCCAGCTCCCAGGAAACCTGAAGGGCCAGTGTCACTCCCACCATGCTATCAGCAACATCCCCGAGTCTGTTTCCAGGTGAATAATGAGTCAGGCTTGAAAGCTTGCTCGAGGGTTTCCTTCTTTTAGCTTCAACTTCTCCAGTGGGGATGTTTGTTCCACGTCCACATCTGGGTCACTCATAGTATTTAGGGTGACTCCGGGGTCCTGCAGAAGGAGTGTGTTTCCTTCAGAGGGTCTGTGGGTCATCTGAGGAATGCTGGTTTGTTCTTGGAGTCAATCTGGAGCTAAAATTCACAATGGAAGCCTCCACATGCTGCTCTGACTGGAGCTGCCACCTAGTCCTGCCTCTCGTCTGCCTTGATCCATAAGTAGATTCCTAATTATGGAATTTGTGATTATTTTAAGTTAAGACAGTTGTGTTCAGATCTTACTTTGGCACTAAAACTGCATTGGAGTTACATTTCCTGCCACTCAAGCTACAAGTGGTTTTAGTGAGGCAATTTCATAGCAGTTTCTCCAGAAACAATTCAGAATTCTTGGACAGTTTCTGTTTGTGTCATTGTTTGCTTTATTTGGACAGATTGCATTTTCCCATAAAATATGCTTGATCTTGCATAGAAATGTAACCAAATAATTGAAAAGTAATTTTTTATTCATTATATTATTTAATCTCTTCAATGATTATTAAAATAGATAAATTTCTTCAGAGCATAAGAAATACTACGTATAAAAATACCTATAAGAACTTGAAAACAATGTTTTCAATAGGAGTGTTGCTTGTCTTTTTGAGCTTGGTTTGTGTGTTTCTACTAACCTTATTGGTAATTTTGGTCCAAGACCCAGCACTATTGAGTCTAGTTGAATTGGACACGGTTTGAGCTACTGAGTCTGAAGGTTAAAGTGATAAATACATGTTAAATTTCATCTCAGAATTTCAACATGAAATTCAAATACATGTTGAATTTCACCTACACTTGGAACAAGTATACTATATGCCATGAAAAACATACAATTTTGTATTTACCACAAAGTTGTATGTTTTTCATGACATATAAATACGCTTGTCC